TCGCATCGAGTTGCCTAAAAATAACCAAAACTAAAGTTACTAGATTATTGAAAGCTATTAATAAAATTTGAGACAATTTATTGATGAAATAGAAAAAATATTTGTATATACGGATCTAGCAAATGACTAGCAAACGTTTTAGCACCGAAATATTTATAAAATTATGAGATAAAAGTTTTAAATGGCGGTTACACCCGTTACACTTGTCCACATTTTATTTTCGACTTTTTACCCAAAATAATTAATATGCAAACAAAATAAAAATAGATGCAAAAATTAGCAAACGACTAGCAATCGAATGACGTATTCGAAATTATTGAAATCGTTAGTTCAACAGCTGACTTCATACCGGTCGCCAATTGCTTCCACTTTTGAGATGGAACTACGTACAGCCATTGTCATTGGCTGTGTACGTAGTTCCATCTCAAAAGTGGAAGCAATTGGCGCTAGTGTACGGGGAGGTCAAAACTTTTACCGGTGTTGCGAAAAACGCCGGTATGGCCGCTCTCATGCATCTCTCTGGTAACCGTCTCGGTACATACACACATGTTCAGAGATTGGATTCCGTTGTGAGCCACGGACTGAGGTGGACGTCTGTGGCTCAGTACTCTGATCAGTGTTGCATCATCCGATTAATAGTTCTCTACTTCTGTTTTGTACCCAGTTATCAAATTTGTATCAGGCTGATGTATAGCTCCTCGTAGGAGCTGAAGCCCAATTAAGAAGACGAAGAAGAATGTTCAGAGATTCGCGTGTGGCGCTCGTGCTCGTACGGTCGGGTTTTTGTTCGTCGTATAATCGCAAGTGTTGTGCATTTGTAGTCGCTTTTTCTCTGCGATTGAAATCTGGGCGTAAGCCCCGTTTCTTCCGGCACGCAAATTTCCTAAAAATCCGCTGTTTCTATTGAAAAGCGTAATGTCCGAGGCTTCGGCCTCGTGCACAGGCGAGGGGGGAGGGGACGACGGTCCGGGCGTCTTTGTGTCCCCCTCGCAACAGACTATTTCGGTTTCGTTGGACAGCTTTTCGCGCTTCGAGGGGCTCATCACAGGACCAAGACTCGAAACTAGAAAAGTTACATGCATTAAGTAATCACACGCAAATGTAAATCGAACTCTGTGCAATTGAATTATTCAAAGAATTTAATAAATTCATCACGGAGAAAACTTGAATTTGTCATCGACGGTAATGCCGGTCCATGCACCACATGGATATTGCATTTCTGAAATATAAAATATATATTGAAATTATTAATAATATGCATATTTTTATATTTATATTTTTTTAATTTGAATTTTATTAAATAGATTAAACTTACCGATTATTAGCCCAGTCAAATGCACTTTTCGATAGGAAAAAATACTAGAAATATTGCTTCGTGGGGGGGTATCTATTGGAGTTAAAATTAAGATATAAAAAGCCCACCCCCGTATCATGGTCGTTGCGAAAATTAGGGTGCAAAAAAGATATATGTACATATATTATAATAATATATATATATATATATTCATTATTATTATAATAAATACATATATAATAATAATAATAATATATATATA